ATTAGTTGCACATTTCGGGCCGATTCCCGAGACGATGCCTCCTGTTTCCCCACTACCGCCCGGTTGCTGGTGGCCGAGCCGCCGATAGCTCTGGCGCAGGAGCGTTTTGTATAAGAAATAGGCTGGGTTGTTGAGGCACCTCTCAGAAAATAGTAATATTTTCTTTACTATATAAATAATATTTATTTTTATTAATAATTAAATACATATATATTATGTATTAATGAAAATAAACATTATTTATGTAGTGAAGAAAATGTTACGATTTTCTGAGAAATGCCTAAACAATCCAGCCTATTTCTAATATAAAACGCTCCTGAGCCAGAGCGCTGATTTATCATATGCTGTGTCATACGCTGCGCTGGTGGAAGCGAGACAAGATCATTGTTAGTCGAACAGCTGAACGCACACGAATGCGTGACGTAGCGATTCTCACTTGCCCGACCGCAACCTGAGCTACATATATATGTATATATGGTACATATTATATTACTTTACAGTACATATAATATTACTTTAGATATTGATTACTATGAATACATTACATATAGATTTATCGGGAAAATAAAAAAATTTTTTAATTTAAAAACTTTTAATGATTAGATATATACAGATTTGCAGGAAAGTTTATGTAAACAAATTTTTAAATTATAAATTAGCATTTTGTATGTTATTCAGTAATTTACTTTTATCAAATTGTTTGACCTAACCAATTGATTAGGTCAAACTGTTACACTATTTACTTATACGATAAATCGACTGGGTAAATTCGACTGGGTTCTTATTCCTACCACAATTATGTCGCCACTGTCAACGCGGAGTTCACGGCTACGGGACCAGGAGCCTTAAAGATAGCAGCTATATATGTGTATAAATGTTTGTATAATTTAATATTTATATGAAAAATTTTTTAAAAGTAATTTTATAAAAAAGCATTTACAAATATATATTTATTTGAATATTTTTATTCAGAATTACAAATTCTAAGTTTATATTCTTTTTCTCATTTTGATATATTCTATACAAAAAATAGTTGTTAAAAAACAAAATTATAATTTTAATTATACATATTTCGAAAATAATTATTAATGCTAATTTAAAATAATTTTAAACAGGTTAAACAATTGAGGCGTGTAACTTGCCAAAATATTCATGTTGCCAAAACCTCATGTTTACAGCTGATGAAAACAATACTGTCAAATGAGCTGGCAATAAAATACAATTGGTGCGGAGCAAAAAAAAACAACATTTTTCTAAATTAGAAATATGCAAAATAATTATGAGTAAGTAAAATATTTAAAAACAATCTTTATCTTTTTATTAATGAATGCTATAATTCCTTTACAAATTGAAAGACATGTTTGTAAATATTTATAGCATTTATTAATGAAACATGTTTACAAATATTAATATTTTTCAATTATCTTATATATATTAGAAATAAAGCATATAATCATTTGTTATTTAATTTGAATAACACCGTAGACATATTTGTTTTAATTTATTCATAAATAATGAAGAAATAATATAAATATGTTACTTTTTCAGATGTAATACGAAAATTACATGATGTCACAGATGAGCAGATCTCAGTCTCAATCAAAATATGGTTAGCTCATGCTAAAGAACGTAAGGAGAGAGAATACCGTAACATCATATATCAAGAATAAAGAATAAAAAAAGTTAATATATATATAAATATAAATAAAATGTAAAAAAAATATATAATGATAAATATATATTTCTAAAACGCAAATATTACAAATTAATATAACCTAAGCTAATCTAACCTATCTACAAATTGTCTACATATTGTATATATGTATATTGTATATATTGTGTGTGTATGTGTGTGTACGTGTGTGTATGCGTGATATACCAATAACATACTGATGAAATGCTATGGATATACTAAAAAATGTTCAGAGTATATACTATAAACTATAATAAGTGGGACATAGGAACATTCTCAGTATGCACTAAGTATATCGTAGTACGTATATCGAATGTTCTGAGAATGTACGCAATATACTTTTGTGATATCCTCCAAATATTCTCAGAATCTACATGTGCTGTTAGGGTACTAGAGACTATTGTAGGCAATATTTGAATTAGCCGCACCGCTATTGAATTAGTCGCACCGCTACTTTCTTTTTGTTCATCAAAAAGTGAATATTTTGACTCAAAGATGAAATATTAATAATCTGCGAATAAATGTTAATTCTCTCCCTTTCTCTTTCCTTTTACCTGCCTTCTTGCATGCTATGTTTATGTATGTGTAATTTTTTTTTAATTTTATATAAATTAATATTAATATAGTTATATAAATATTTTTTAAGATTTATATGTTGTATAAAAAAAATTATAATTTGATGTACAAATGTCTTTCATATTATAATAAATAATACTTTAAATTTACATGATATTTAAAGACGCTACATTTCTTATGATACTTAACTACTTGATTCTCTTTGATAAAGTTTAGTTGATTGTAGTTCACCCGTCGTGATAGAATCTATAATCCAGGTTTCCTTCAAACCATTCATACCGATGATAATTTTAGCCTGCTTAATATTTTCCGTAATATGTCCGCCTGCTGTTTTTATAAGTTCTTTAAGTGTATCACATGGTATTGTAGTTTTATGCTCAACATATATAAGTCCACATAAACTGAACAATTCTGGGATGTATGACAGTCCAAATAATTGTCTATCTTTCCGATTCTCCTGCAAAATCCAAATATTCTTGTTATACAATATGCGAATAAAGATTTGCAACCATCTCGTCTATCGCCTTACCTCTACAGCTTTAGAGAAATGTTTCATCTCAAACTTTTCTGGATCTAACCATGTATTGTTCTCCAGGGATGTTAGAACCCATTCTAAAGTAACAAGCCAACAACCTCTTATAATTCCTCGAAGCAGATTCACTGTGCGTACACCTGTACTCACAACATGAGTCGTTCGCTTTGATACATTTATTTCCATTTCTGCCATACCAAGGGATTTGATGATGCTTTTAACTAAACTCTGGTCTCTACAAAATATAATACATTTTTTATAACAACTTTATAAATTTGTGAAATAACATAAAAAATTATTACTTGTAAAAAAAGAAGCATTTTAAAATAATTAGTTATTATTACTCTTTTGATAAACCAGTCGTTACAATGACAATCTTTTGAGACTTGTGTTTATACCATTGAGTAGGTATTGTGCGATGCCTTACAAAATCATTTAAAGAATCTTTATTCTCTATTGATCGATTTTCTTTATTTTGTCTATTTTCTTCTAATATATTCAACACATTTTCGTCAACAATTTTCTTGATAACGATTTTCTTACTCATAATTTTTTTCGGTTTTCGCACTTTTTTTTTTTTTCTTTTATTCTCAAAAGTATCGCAATCATTATCTGACCACCTTTCATTTACGATATTATGTTTAATACTACTTGTGTTAGTCTTAACATCCGCTAACTTTCTTTTTGAACGCTTCTTTTTGAACTTTTTGCTTTTTTTTCCAAATGTTGATTCCTTAGCTGTGCATTTATCTTCCTCTATTGGAGTAATAGAGCACAATTGAGAGTTTTCGTTAAGCGGCAATAATTTCCTTTTGCCCTTCCGTGTTACAATACATTCCATATTTTGTGAAGAAATTGTAGTCTTGTCACCTATTTCAAACCTTGCCTTATTACATGTATCTTCCGTGATTATTAATTGATTTTGAATAAGAAAATAATTAGAGCTGGGCATATCTTTTAACATAACTGTATCTGCATCGGCTGTTTTTGGTGTTTCAGTCGACTTAGGTGTTTTATTTGATACTTTTGTATTCCTAATATTAAAAAAACAAAGTTAGTAATATTAAATATAATTAGTATTTAATATAATTTATATATACACTAATATATTAATTTACGCGCGTGCGTGTGTGTGTTACATAATGTGTATGTTAAATCATGCAAAAACAGTAATCTGTGTATGTATATGTAAATAATATTGTATATTTGTATACTTACAAAACATTTAACTTAGTTTTAATCTTGTTTTCTTTATTATCAATCAAATTTGCATTGTTGTTACAAGATTCTGCATTGTGATTGATGTTTTGTGTTTTATATTTTAGTAATGATTTAAATAAAACTGATCGGCTTATTGGATATAGAGTTCCTTCAACGCAACTATAATTATTACCACTATTACTTGTATGATCATTACGCTGATATATTAAACTTGTTACATTATTAGATTTATCGTTTTCTGCTTTTTCTTTATCTCCTATTTCATAAATATTTGATTGAACGTTATGAGAAAACTGATTTTGTGTAGAGATATTTTTTAATCTCTCAAATAAACTGATGTTTTCTAAAAAGTCTACATCATCTGTTTCTTTATTTTCTGTTATTAAATATTGATTATCTATATATAAATGTTTTTCTCTTAGGTCTTTAACATTCCCCTTCTCTTGGATCAATGATTGTTTGATTGAACGATTATTTCTTCTTAGCCTTGTTTCGTGCATAGAATCTATCGATGTATTCATTTGCAACGAAGTTTGAGTGCTATTTATACTTTTGTATTGATCATTCAAAACTATTGATCTTTTATTATTAGTTATTGTTGCTCCAAAGCTTTGATTAGTATCAATAATTTTGTAATTGCTTGAAGAATTCACTTTACTAGTTTTAACCATTACATCCAATGATGTATTTACATTTAAAGATAACTGAGTAATACTATTTGTACTATTATCAGACAAAAGTAACATACATTCTTTTTTGCTTTGATTTGTAGTATTACGCTCCTGTACTTGCAATGTATTATGTATTTTTGTAGTAGCTGCAACTTCTTCAATAGATACTTGCACAGGAACTACAGGTACACGTGTACTAACTGCATCATTCGCAACGTTTGCACAGGGCACATTGGAACACGCAATATTATTTTGTACAGTAAATTTGTTTAAATGAATATCTTTTAACCTCTGAATAGTTATATTTTTCTTTTGGTCTAAACTTTTTACTTTGGATTTTTCTTCCTCTCTATCTTCAATACAATTGTTTGCATTTGAATTTCTATCTTGTTCTTTACTTGTTTGAATAATACCACAAATCTCTGTCATTTCCATAGATATTACTTTATTCATTGTATGCGTAGCATGAGATATATTAAAATCATTATTTGTTTTATTACAGCTACTTTTATTTTTTTTTTCCCTTATTGTGTTATCTTCAATAAAGGTAGAACAGGTAATGGGTACTCCTATATCAACATTCTGAACAGAGTGTTCAGTTGAAAATGTGTTATTATAGTTTTCAGATTGATTTTGCAAACATAATTTAGAACCTGCTCTCTTGTTGCTGCTGCTTAATATAGGACTGCTACTTTGATTTGTTTGTTTAGGGGGGATTGGACATTTATTTTGCAGAACAATATCTTCTATAATTCGACATTTTGTGTGCTTTTCTACTTGTTTGTCATTAGTGACAAATAATCGTTTTTGAATTAATCTAGATTTATCCACAGTTTGTTTAGAATTTTGTCCATTCTTGCTTGTTGGAGTGGCTATAATATTTAAATATCTATCCTTTCTTTGCTGATTAGTATATTGTTTATGTTCCATTGTTATTTTATTTCTGAGACAATGATTATTTGTCTTTAATATAAGAATAGACTTGTTCTCAGAATTTGAATTGTGTATACTGCTTACAAAGTGATTTTTCTTATTCCCTAGTACCATTGCAGTTTTTATAGATAGCTCATTATCTCCGTTAAATGTCGCTTTAGTCTTGTTTAATATTTCATCTTTCAACTGCTTACAATTTGTTTCTAGAGCTCGTTCCTTAGAACTTGTATCTTCTAAATGTATTTCTTTCTTGACTGCAAGAAAATTTTTATTGTTATTATTTATCTTTATAACACATTTGTTCATATCGTTTATAGCTTGCAAATCTTCATTGTTAAAGTTAAATTAAGAATAATTTTGATTATTATATGTACCTTGGCTTTCTTGCAAATTTCTATTATCTGCTCTTTCAATGTTTTCAATCTCTGATCTATAGAGAGAACCATTGCCAGAATCCGTTAAATTTGCGATGTAACTCATATTAACTCTCAAAGAGCTATGTCGATGTTCAAAACTGTCATCTTCATCTGATGTGTTTGATGCGATTATTTTTCTTTTATTCATCATTGATCTATATTATTATATTATAATTATAGTTATATACAAATACACATAAAAATATTTTTTCTGTTCTTATTAATTTATATTATAAATTATATCTGCATACTGACAATGCATATCAAAATATAACAAAAATTACGAGATTAATAAACATGATGAGGTTATTGAATTTTATCTTACAAATATATTTTTATACACTATAGGTTTATTCTTTGCCATTGTACTGAGGTTGCAGCAAGGAATCGTCACTTCGCAAATTTTTATGGGGGACGAAAGTCGGTGTTGACGGTACAATACTGAACTATATATGTCAGAGAGAACTCTGAGAGGGACCACGCCACTGAAATATATACATACTGGAACGCGCACGGCCTCTCTACTGTTGTGTCCGCGAGAGAGAACATTGCAACAAGATTTTTGGCTTTGTCTCGTCTCATCTTATTGGTTGAAATTTATGCGAGTACAGTTCAAGACAAAAAATTGAAAGAACAAAAAGTGGTGAAAACACGAAGTAAGGGTGCATCCCGACGAAGGAAGAAATAGCGGAACGGAACAGTAGCGGAAAAGAAACTAGATGGAAAGTAGCCAATCAGAATGATTCCGTTTCAATTCCGTTCCGCTTTTTAACCACTGGGTTCCCCATGGCACGGAACTGTTACGGAACGGAAAAATTTCTAACCTATCGACATGAAAAATTCGCGAAGTGTCCGTTTGTTTATTCGTTTTGCAACGTACGTGCATTTTGGAAGCTGTTGGAAGGAAATAAAAAGCAATGTCGTCATCGGTACGTTATTATTGTATAAAAATAAAATATATATATTAAAACACTATGTATGTTTTCACATAAATTCAATTATTTAAGATAAGAATTGATAATAATTCTTGATAAGAATTCTATTTCTAATTTAGACCGTAATTTATAAGACAGTCTATGTAGACCTTCTGCCAAACGTGACACGAATCCATCTATAGGATTAGGTTCTGCATTTTGTGTCAAAGAATGAATAAGAGCTTCTTCATATTCGTCTAAATCAATCCTCTTTTTTTCTGCAACAAAAATATATAAATTAATTATTATTCATTCGCTAATGTAAGTTGCGTATAATAAACATTCATACTTCGTGATTTCGGTAAGACTGGAGACAGTGATGTGGAAGTATTATCATCAGTGATAGGAGTCAGAACATCATCCACGCTGCTTGTTGATGTGAAAGGAATGCTGTTGCAACTTGAAGCTTGCTCTTCACACATTGATCTTAAAGACGTTACGGTTCTGAAATAATGTTAGGATGTTATTACTATATAATTATTATCAATAAAACT